ATTCTTAGCTTTAGTTTTAATTAAGTTCCAAATTTGAGATTATCATTTATTTAAGAGTAACTTAGACTTGATATTTAATTTTCCTTTTTTGTGAGATCGACCCTACTTTCTGCTATACCATTATTAGTGTTAAGTAGGCTAATTATATTTGATTAGTTTGACGACGGCTTGTCAAATTTAGTGTCGTTGCCGGGAAGGCAATAACTAATATCAAAATTAAATTACTTTTATTGTTATTATTAATTTAGACTTGTTTTTGTGTTCTACTATTGCTCGTTTAATTTTTCTTTTTTGAAGAGTTATTGGTTGTTTGTTTCATATGCAATATGCTAAATTTGATGCTTTGTTATTTGAACCGCTGGTGCAAACAAATCAATTTGAACCAAATATTCTATAGGTAAATCATAGTCCTAGATTTGTTCTGTTTGCACGAGCCATTCTTTCAACTTTTAGATCAAATAACAAAATACCATATTTAGCACTTCACATGTAAAACAACCAAAAACTCTTCTGAAAAAAAAAAACAAATGAGCAATTATAAAACACAAAAGCAAATCTAAATTAATAATAAAAAAAAATAATCTAATTTTGATATTAGTTATTGCCTTCTCTGACAACGGCGTCATATTTGACAAAGTATAATTAACCTACTCAACCCTAATACTCGCGTATAACATAAAGTAAAATCAACCCCACAAAGAAGGAAAACTAAATGTCTAAAATTACTCCTATTATTTAGATGAATGATAATCTCAAATTTAAAACTAAATTAAAACTAATGAGAACTACAAAATTAATTTTAAGGTTTAAATAATCAAATAGTTCAATTTAATTCATAAATACTTGACTTTTGACTTTCACTAGTTTCACAAACGATTCACCTAATTAAGAATTATACACTCTCGTGCCATAATTCTTTAACTCAAATTAAACCTATGACCACTCTTGTGACTATAAGAATTAATAGAAGCACAGTGTTCTTACTCTCGTAGTTCACAAGTTAAGTCTAATATTCATACAAACTAATGTTAACCTTCCACTCTCATTACTTCAGTTAGCACCTTAGACAAATATGTAAATAGTAGTCAATTGCTTACACGAATTAAAACAAGAATAATAGGTATTGATCAATGAAAGAAAAAATCAAATAATATGAACTAAATAAAACAAACAAGTTCGTGACTGTATCTAAAGCCCTAGATCGAAGAAGTTTAGCTACTAAATATTGCTGAAAATAATTCAACAATATTAATAACCAACATGTCAAAAGTCTAAAATTTAATAAATATAAAATGAAAGAACCTGGAGGAAGAAAATCCGCCGAGTTAACCAGAAGCTTTAACTATTATGCGTGAGATGGTGGTCTGGAGAGGGATGCTGGAGTTGTGCGCGGAGAGAGGGAGCTTTTGAGCGTGGGCTTTGTGGTGTTCCAAAAAAACAAGAAATTAGCTTCCTTTATATAGGCTTTTCAAATCACCAGATTCTTGGAGATTAAGTTAGCTCTTCCCTAATTCTATTGAGATTAAACTTCCGGCGAAATCCTTGCTTCCTTTTAGCACCGCCATCAACTTCTTCCTTTGCAATATTTGGGCTCCAGGATTAGGCCGATGTCAATTAACTTCATCCGTCCAAATCCACTTCCGATAACAAAAACAAAAAGTCCATAATTACATGTTTGGTCATCCAAGTCTTCAAGTCCTCTAATTCTTTCTCTTTATTTTTCAGATTTTCTCTAATTCCTCAATTGTTTTTCATCTTCAATTTAGTCTGATACTCCAATAATTTTTCATTTGAGTATCATTAAAATCAAAGTACTCAAAATATATGGCAAAAATATAAATTAAGAATATAATAATAAATAAATAAATTCTAAGCACATTAGTTACTTACGACCTAACCAGATGGTAGTGAATCTTATTTAACAAATAATTACAACATGTGTAAAAGAATTAACAAATGTCACAATAAATGACACAAAAACATCATAAAAAATCTTATAGTGTGCAAAATCTTATATATATATATATATATATTTGCATAAGGAGTGTAGATTCATTGTTCATACTCTATATGTTCGTTTTAACACTCCACTTAAACCTAACATAGTTCAATGAAATAGTTCAAAAAAATGAAATGAAAGAGTACAACATAAAATACTTTTAAAATACAATCCATATACTACATAATTTTCTATTTCATGTACAATTTTTATTTTTTTTACACTAAAACAATATAAGATACTTATTCTGAATTGCTTTTTGTAGTGGGAAAAATTACTCATTTATAGTCGACTGGACATTTTTGTCATTCTCCCTCATTTTCTTTCCCTTCCTTCCTCCTTTTCCTCCTTCCTCCTCCTTCTCCTTTCTTCTTCTTCACATTCAAACCCAAAAACTCAATCTTTAAACTTAGATCTACAAAGATTTAGGAACTAAAAAAATGCCGGATCGAGGCAAACAATATCGGAGAAGCTCGCTCTGTGCACCGGTAAGTTTTTTTTGCATCAAAATTATTATCAAAAAATTCAAAAAAAAAAAATCTAGAATGGGTAGCCGGTCCGACGCCGGCTACCCCTGAGTAATTTTTTTTATATTTATTGTGTTTATTATTATTTTTGTTATATTTTATTTATTTATTGATTTTATTTTTCAATAATTAGTTTTAATTATATTTTGTTATATATTATTGATTATATTTTATTTATTGGTGTTCATGTTATTATAATATAAATAAATTTGAATAAGAAGTATAAATTAGAATTTTAAAAATAATAGAGTGTTAATTATATTAGTTGTTATATTTTTAATAATTATGGCATCTTTTAATTTATGTATTATATTTATTGTAGTAATAATTTAAATAGGTTATAATTTAAAGATATCTCAATAATTATAACACATAAATTAAAACATTAGAGCATGTTTTAATTTATGTGTTATAATTATTTTAGCAATATTTTAAATAGGTCATAATTTAAAGATGTTATTATTATTTGATTATTTGATCATATGTTTAATTTATGTGTTATATTAATTTTTATGTGAATTATAGTAATAGTGTAGTTATATATTAATCAATGTAGGTTAAAGAAAAAAGACCGAAAAGACCAGTTGTACTTGATTCTAAATTGATGGTCAGGTCTGGTCCACGGAGACTTGACGAGGTATTTGATCAGGCTAGTCTGGACTGGAAGAATGTCATTGACTAAGAAAATGTAACATTTGAGAATTTCGACTCGGATGGGTATGATCATTTCGAAGATGGTTACCTGGACTGGTACATTCGAGTTTCGCATCCTCTGCTTGTTTTGGATCGCGCTACTGTTGGGACTTCGAGAGCTGGAGTTGGAAACATATCTCTCGTAAGTCGTCTTCTGTCTATTGTAAGATTAATAAATTTAGTTAAGATTTGTTTAATATAATATTAATTGTATTTTCTTATTTTTATGTGTAGTGAATCAATCGACTGTTTGTATTATATGGAAACACACTAGGTGAATTGCGCAGATGGGATCCAGAGACTGCAAGGAAACATCAGGCATTGTTTGCTCAATTCATCAAGGATTTTCATTCGAGTCATTGATGTGTATTTGACAAAGTAGAGTGTGTTTAATTAGGATATTATGTGTTACTAATTAGATTTTTATTTGACAAAGTAGAGTGTGTTTGCTCAATAATTTTGACGTCTCACTTCTCCTTGACGCAATAACCACCTCAAAACTAAAAGATTTCGCAGTCTGTTTCGCCCATTCTATATTATCATCAACAGTATCGAATCTAATGCGAGTCTTGAAATACGAACTATAGTCAATACCATCACCACCATAATCCTGTAATGAATCATAATCAAATTTAACAAACTTAAATATATACATAAAAAAATAACTACATAATTAAGTATATTAAATTATGTAAAACACATCTAGTGAATAATTTATAATTTAAATTTAATTACCTTACATGATAGTCAATTAACACTATATTAAATTTCATTTACATAAATACTATAATTTAAATTATATTACATTTATTACACACTACCAATTAGTAGTAATAAATATAATACAATGTAATTACCACTGCAAAATATTTAATTTACATAAACAATCATTATTAATAATACTTATTTTTTTAAATTAAATAAAAAAATCTAAACAATAAAGATTGATACTATTCATTCAAACAAACTAATTATTGAAAAAAAATTAATAATAATTAAAATGAATATAACATAAAAAAAATTTAAAAAAAATGAAAAAAATTACTCAGGGGTAGCTGGCAGCAAACCGGCTACCCCGTAAGAGCTAGCCGGGTCAAAACTGGCTAGCTATCCTCAAGGAGCCGGTCATGGGCATAGCTAGCCGGTTTTGACCCGACTAGCTCTTACGGGGTAGCCGGTTTGCCGCCGGCTACCCTGTTCCAGAATGGTTTTTTTTTTTCAATAATATTCAATGAATTTTGACAAAAAAAAAAAACCAAATTTGAGGTCGAGCCTTCCGGTACTTGATTCTCTTTATTCCACCATTTTTTTAACCTCTAAATTATTGTAGATCTGAGTTTGACATAATAATTTTTGGGTTTTTTTTTTCTTTGAGAGGTGAAGAAGAAGAAGAGAAAGAATTAATTTGAAATTATGTGTTGTAGTACTTTTTGTAATATTCAGGGGTAAAAATGTCCAAACAACTGTAATAATAATGCCCTTATTATTTGTACGAGAGATTTATCGACAAAAAATGATGCAATATTATTACTGCCGATCACAATGTAGTAAAGCACTACCGTTTGAATCACATGGTCATTAACTTATTGTCAATACCTCTATAAGTAGTTCTAATCAGTCCACAAGATCTCGTTTCTGACTAACTTCTCTTGATTATAAAATTTTGTTCCGTAAGCATAAACCCATGCAAATTTCTTGTCTGTGTGTTGATGATATTTAGATGGACTTTATTTGGGGTAATTAAGTACTACTTTTAGAAAAACAAAACTCACCAATCAGAATCCCTAATCAATTGTCTATGGATTTATGTCTCACACAAAAACATGGGTTTAAGTTGTCAAAGACAAGAGAAATCATCACGAAATTTGTTTATCGCATTATTTCTGGTGATCTCCCAAGTAAGAAGGATAAAATCTTCGACCAAGTGATGAACTTCTATTCCTCAAAGAATAAAAATACAATAATTTAGTACATGTTAAAAAGAATAATGAATTTCACAATTTTGAATGATTTTTTTTACTACAAACTATGAACTATTGAATAGACGATGAATCGCTGACATTAGGTCTTAAAGAAAGTCTTCAAAATTTGCATTCTTGAGGAAGTCCTTGTGGAAACCTCTGGTAATCTTTGCAGTAGTTATATATCAAGGACCTGGATTGCAGCCATCTAAGACGATTTCTACTCTTAGAATCAAGCCCTTGAGTCCGCCATGCTTGCGAATTATAAGAAGAATCAGGGGAATTGCAAGACGACGATGAAGATGACCATATACATCCATCAGCATTGAAGTTTCTGTAAGAAGCAAAAAATGGTGCTTTTGTCCAATCAGTCTTAATCCTTCCACCTTGAGTTGCCCATTCCTCTGCATCCCACAAACTGCAGTATACCCTCATCGGCTGATCACCTGGAAATGGAATCCCTTTTCCCTGATTATTCTCGTACACTCTGATTGGACTATTATCAACCAAGAAACTGCAGATGCAAAAAAAATGTTCAGAGCATTAAAACTTAGCTTGCTTGTAAACATCAGCAATGGGGAATAATTGGGGCTTAATTTCTTCTTAAATCATTGAAAAAACGATTGAAGAAGGTGGAAACTTACATGATCCTTTGTGAGTTCCAAACAATGGAGTAAGTGTGAAAGGCTGAAGTGGGATCAAACCAAAGCTTGAACTGTTGTTCTCTGTTTCCTGTCCCCTGGCAATAGATATTGGTGTGAAGTGTATATGGCTCGCCAGATGAATTCCCCAGGAATTCCATATCAATCTCATTGTGATATTCTCCCACAGAAGTTAACTGCACGGATCAAGATTTTCATTAGTATAAGTTTTGGTCAGAAAAGCTGTTGGATGAAACTTCAAATGAAAGGAAACGTACATAGAATGTGGTAACGGTGCCAGCTGAATTCCCTGGGACGAGCTTCATTTGGATGTCAAATCTACCAAAGTGGTATTCATTCTTGGATTTGAAACCTGAACCCGAAACCTTGTCAAGAGAGAGTGTAAGGAGATTGCCTCCTGGAGATATTTGACACCTTGCATCCCCATAGAAGCATTCCACATCCTGGTTAAAATTACCAGCTGAGGCTGCCTTAATTAGGCAAAAAATCACGAGAAAGATATCGAAGATTGTCGAAAAAAACATTTTAAGAGAGGTTTTTGAGTAATGGGGGTGACGAGACGTGTTATTAGGAGAGATTAATGACTTTGGATGTGTAGAGTTCTGCTTCTGATTTGCCCTTTTATAGGTGTCCACCGAGAGCGCAGCTCGTTGACTTTAATTAATTACCATGTAGTTAGTACTCTAGTATGGTAGGAAGAATCCAAGAATGAACAGAAGCTTTGATCAATTGGTAAATTTTTTTAATCAAATGATTGGAAGCCAGAATGTACAAAGGCGTGTGGATGAGGTTGTCACTAGGAGAAGTCACTCTGAACTGAACTGAACTGAACTGAACTGAACTGCCTTCCTCAGCCATGACTAAATCTGGATTTTTTTATTATTAATTTTTCTTTTTGGGTGGGAAAAAAAAAAAAAAAACTGGACACAACTAAGCTTATGCATGGAACACTTGGAAACGTTGACTCAATATAATGATTGAGAATATACAAGTACAAGTTGTTTATTTATTTAGACTATGATCTAGTTGCAATTGGCATCGTGTGATGGTTTTAACAACCATCGTGTGACTCTTAGTGGCCACTTACCAGCAACTGCGCTGGGCTAGAAGGGAGAGGGACTAAATCTCCACTTCTACATTTCTCCTTGTAGAAATTTCCCATCTTCTCCTCTTCTATACTTACTACAATTAAAAGGCAAAATGCCTCGAATTAATCTATCATGGTACGGGAGAAATGTGACTCTAATATGATGGCTCTAAATCGATTTTTCAATGGTTAAGTCCTATTTAAATTGGGGAGAAGTGACATCTATTAAAGAAGTTTCTAGTTTTTTTTTTTTTGGAAAATCTCTTGGATCATACACCGGAATGAGACCATTAATGAGTTAAAAAGTTTGATTAGGGGAGGGGAATCCATGTTTAATATCTACTCCTCATTCCACACGAAGTAACTCGCATTCCTTTAACAATGCCATTCACGCCCATTTCTTTGAACTTCGAATCATTGCGGAATTATACTTAGGTGGTCAACTTTGGTAATATTATCGTGAAAGTTTCATTTCACTCTTGAGGCAACTTACATGCTAAAACTGAAAGTAGAATTTAGAGGTTGTTCATTCATGCTCACAATACACTGACTTTGAGCACTCAATCCACATTAACACCAAATATCGTCCACTCCATAACAATAAAACAAACCCTTTTGAGTGAAGATGCCATTTTGCATTGGACTTCATCGATAAGGTTAGACCAATAGTTGCCTATGCAAAAAGTCCAAATGAGTTGACTATGCAGCTTACGGCCCAGCTAGAGCTTCGAATGCCTAAAGTTAGAGTCTGCAAAGTCCAAACAAAACATCATTACAAGTGAACATCCTACCTATTGGCTACAGGGCCCAAATTGTCCATGTACATACACTTTTTTGTTTTGGATCGTAAATGATGAACACTTGAACAAATTACAATATATACACTGATTAATCAAATGATAAATGGTAAAAAACTTGTGGTTGTGTTGTGTGGAAGAGTTTAGAGATCTTTCAGTTCTTAACTAAGGTTGGGTGGCACAACTTCAAGAAAGTGCTTGGTTCATGGATATGGAATGAGACCTTAGAATGTAAAGGAATGCATTGGAATACTTTGAATCATCTTGGATTAATTAGTAGTGCTTAGTTACAGAAAATTTTTAGATGGGAATACTTGTAAAATATCATTAATATCCTTATCTTTTACCTTTTGTTTCTTCCATACATTTCTCACTTCAAGCTCCTGCCATAGCCACCAGCCGCACCAAACCACCATTTCCCCTCTTTCTCCTCCTACATTGCTTCACTCTTCTCCTACTCTATTAATAGCCACTGCCACCATCTTGATTGCCCCCCGTAGAAATTAAATTACATTCTTGAATTTTTGTTTTGAAAAAAACTAGATCTATAAAAATTTTCTGTTTTTGGATACTTCTTACACCCCGAATTGGACAAATTTTTTTTATAGTTATGCCCATTAGAGAATACATTCTTGCTGTCTTATGTCAGTTCGAAAAAAAAAAAGAATGAATTTGATTGAGAAAGAAGAAGAAAAAAGAGGCAAATCCATGATATTTTGATGGGAGGAGAGAGGATCGGGAAGAGTTTTTGATAATTGATAGAATTAGTTATTGTTGATTATGATTGTTGTTGTTCATGATGGTGGTGTAGAGAATATCGGGAAGAAATCGGCTGTTGTTGATGGTGGTGAGAGTGAGGAGAAAAAAAAAGAAAAAAAAAAGAGAAGATTGAAGTTGGAGACGGAGGAGAAAGCCAGAAAAGCAAGAGGGCAAAGAAGGGAAAAAACCAATTGGCAAGTCATATCCACCAAATTAGTTGGAAATGGTTCTATGCCTTTCAAACCCAATTTAGTGGACCCGAGATATTTCTAATATTTGAACCAAGCAATCAAAATTGGATTTCAAATCTAAAAATTTCATTCCAAGTATTTGAAACCCATGAACCAAGCGCCTTGCAAATCTTTCGTGCTAATTAGAACAAAAAATGTCTAATAGTACTAGATGTGCTTGGATTAGTGGTGTCATTCCAAACAGATGACTTTCATTCCAAATTTTGTGAATTCCCTTGCTTGGTTCAAAGATTTGGAATGACTAAGGCCTACAAAATTGAGATTCAATCCAATAATTCCATTTCCAACATGAACTCCACTGCTGCAATTTTTCACCCCTTTTTCTCTTCAATTCCAATTGTAACTCCCACCAATCTATAAAAAAGTGAGAAGAGAAAATTAATTTGTACTCCCTAGTCAACACGAACCAAGTAACCAACACTCTTCCTCCGCAATCAACAACACCAGCATCGTAAATGTTGCCAAATTGCTGCCTTTGGTCAGATCTACTCGCCCAGTAGCCACCCACTGCTCGACCTCCATCATGGTTTGAAGTGAGTTTCATAGTTAATTAGTAATAATAGTGATGTTAGTTACTTTTTTTTAAATTTATTTAATTGTAGCAAAATTATCATATTATTATGTAATGTTCCTGTGATTAGGCTGGCGGAGAACTCTTGTTGAATTGGTGGTGGTGGAATAATCAAGCATAGGCACGATGGATGGAAAGGGAATAAATTTGGAATTTCAAGTCCATTCCAATTGAATTTATGAACCAAGCACTCAAAATGAAGCTTTGATTCCCTTTATAATATTTTTGTTTGGAATGAATTTTACCTTTTATAACTCTCAAACCCATAGCCTTTGTTGAACCAAGTAACATGTATAAATTTACGGAGAACTTAGAGCGAAATGTTAGCCGTTGGATTTTAGCCAAAATCCCAACTTGCAAATTTATAATTCCAACTTTGACACTTGAAATCATCTCAAAATTAAACCCAAAGACACAAAAGGAAAAAAAATATAGTTGAATATGCAATCAAGCTCGCCTACTCCATGGCAAACTTGCTACTATCCTGTCCCTAAACGCTTTTGTACTCCACATCCGCATCTTCTCTGTAATCATTCCTCCCATCTGCAATTCCCATTGACGCTGCAGCTTCACAAAAAGCCTATCTTCACCGCAACAAATAGATGCACAAAAGAACAAGACCACAGAAAGAACCCGAATAACACCCAATACCACCACCCGCAAAAGAATCTTTCTTTTCCCCAAGAACTTGGCTCTTCTGCCGAATCCCGAAAATCCCAGAATAAGGGGAAATTAGAAATTTCGTATAGTGATTATTATACCCATTCAGGCTTTTATTCAAACATGTGGTGGGGTGAATTGAAAGCTGCGTTAGGGCAGAGGATTAACTTGGAGGGCATTTCTTCTTCAGTTGGGATTGTGGCTAAAGACAAGCAATTGGTTGTCCCCCATATTGCGGTGCCGGATATAAGGTACATTGATTGGGCTGAGCTGAAGAGAAGAGGGTTTAAAGGTGTTGTCTTTGATAAAGACAACACACTTACTGCTCCTTATTCTTTGAGTTTGTGGCCACCTCTTGGATCCTCAGTGGCACTATGTAAATCTCTTTTCGGCGACAATATAGCGGTATTTAGCAATTCGGCTGGTAAGCTTGGAGCAGAATAAACACAGTTTGTTGTTGCTTTTGCCCTTTTCTTATTATTGGTTAAAGAATGGATTTTGTTTATTTGATTAGTTTGTGATTGTGTTTTGTTTGGTGTAAATTAGGACTTGAGGAGTATGACCCTGATGGTAAAAAAGCTAAAGCGCTTGAGGCTGCTATTGGCATTAAAGTAATTAGGCACAGTAAGTTTAGTTTCACATTGCAGAATTATTGTGCAAAATTATTATAATTTTTACATAACTTGCCTGGTTACGTTGGGTATATATATGAACCATTTAGTTACTAGTTTCTCTTTCAGAAATTGCATTTATCTTGTTAAATTTGTGATTAGTAATTATGCCTTTTTGGTTAACTAACTTTAGGGCTGAAGAAGCCAGCTGGAACAGCGGAGGAAATTGAAAAGCAGTTTAACTGTGAATCCTCAAGACTTATAATGGTAATAGAACTTGTCGAAAGATTCAGTTTATATGTTTTCAGTTTTCACCTGTGCGTCATAAATGACCTAGTTTGCTCAATGCCAGGTTGGTGATCGACCCTTTACAGATATTGTCTACGGTAACAGAAATGGTTTCTTCACCATTTTGACCGGACCATTAAGCCTTGAAAAGGAACCATTCGTTGTGCAGCAGGTTGTTGTTATTCCCATTTGTTTGTTTCAATTTTTGATGTGAGACCTTGCACTCTTGTTCTTCATAAATGTGATGTGGAAGTCTTGCTGACTTATTAGCACCTTGAGGGCATATTGTGCAACTGAAGTTATTGATCTGTTGAGATGCAGGATACATTTTTTTTTTTTAATTTTGTTTCCTTTAGTCTTTCTTGGTTAAATGAAATTGAAATCTCAGTATAGTTCTCCAGAGAGACATCATAAAAGCCTGGCCGGTGATTTTAGTCCAAGTAGTTTTATGTTCTTCATAAACGTGATGTGGAAGTCTGTAAACTTACTAGCACCTCGGTGATCATATTGTGCAACTGAAGTTATTGGTCCGTTGAGACACATCATAACTACTTTTTTACGCTGTCTTTCTTTTGTTTCCTTTAGTCTTGCTTGGTTGAAAAAAATTGAAATCTCAGTCTATTTCTCTGGAACGACATCATGTAAGGCTGGCAGGTGTATTTAGTCCAAGTAGTTTTGTGTTTGTACTTGACCGTGATTTGGAGTTACCATGCATCATTCATTTAGATTTTCCAATTCTGATTAATTTGTTCACTTGATGTGCTTTGTCCCATCAATATTCTGATACCAACCATGCTTCATCCATTTAGAAACTCTGGTTGCAACTTACATGTGGTATGCCTTGTCAAATTAGATATTCTGATTCCATCTGTGCTCCGTTCGCTTAGACACTCTGATTCCTACTTACATGTCCACTTAGTAGCTTTTCACGCTATCCTTAGATGACAAGTACGTTGGAAATCAAATATATAAGTGGATAAAGCATACTATATGAAGAAACCTTTTTTTTTCTTTTTTTTTTTAATACCCAGTAGTTGACACTCGAGATCATGGAAAATACCGGTTCACCTTCATTATTGTGCCTTGTCCAGTTGGTTGAAAATGGCTGTTTGCTTGATAATATTTGAAACTTTATCATGTTGGACACGAGATAAAATTTATAGGTGAACATTTGTTGGCTAAGCTTCCAAGCTCCAACATTGCTGGTTTGTCCATGTGTATGTGTGTGTTTGTTTTTCTTGTCTTTATAGGTTTTTTTTTTTTTTTGAAAAGGTACCTGTCGTTATATTAAGAAACGATACCTATTCTATTACATCGCATTCTATTATATGCTAAACTATGTAATTCATGGACATCTTTAGAGAGGAATGTTCAGGTTCTTTTTGCTGTTGTTTTTTCTTTTTTTTTAAATACAGTGGACTGGGCCTCATTTTCTCTTTCAAATTTATTTTCTGAGAGGGTTGTATGCTTTTTTTTTTTTTTAGTTATCAAGAAGATAGTAAAGAAACACTGCTCTGATAAGTAATGAATAGCTTTAACCATGTACCATAGGGCAGCTATTCCTAAGGATTTTACCTATCTTCTAATAGGAATGAACCGTCTCATGTATTTCCTTATTTTGCCGAAGCAAGGAAACCTAGAAGAGAGGGGACTATGCCTGCACAAGCAATGTACATGATTGCTTACTATTCTTCTGCTTCCAGATATCCTACTAAATCTTTTTTATCACCGATGATGTGAAATTTATTTCCATGAAGAGCAGTTACATGCAATATTTTGAAACAATTATCAAAGCCCCGTAGGAGTGACAAAACTATAGATGTTAAAATGGAAGTTGTGGAGATTTGATTTATAGTTTGATGTCACTACAGGTTGTGATGTTAACTTGTGTGTACTTGCAAGTATGTCTGAAATGATTGACATATAAAACCTATAGGAAATTTGGCTATCTCAAAAATTTCAAATTATCTGTGGTTCAGAGGGTCAAATAGGATTTCTGTAGAATGCGTAATTCTGATGGAAATATCTTTGCAGGTTCGGAAGCTTGAAGTAGCCCTTGTGCATCAATGGTCGACTGGAAAGGTGAAGCTTTTGAATCATCCTCTCGTACCAACCCCTGATCAATGTGTAAAAGATCAACCTTTATGATAGATGTGCTGGTATAGTGACATTGTTGTACATAGTAGTCTTAATTCTTGTTAGCAGAAGAGATATATCCGTCAAAATCGGATTCAAAAATGTTTGTGTTTGAAAGTGAGAATCTCATAATAGAAGTCCAGTTTTCATGTCCTTGTTAGTCTACACAGCGAAATCTGTTGAGAATTACTCAGCAGATATTATGTTTAAGATTGATTTTTCCCGGCATTCGCCCTTGATCATTGAAAATTTTTGGTAAAAAAAAAAAGGGATCCTAAGTATTATCTGTGTTCTGAACTTCAGATACTCCCACATATTCTTGATGAGATTCTTTGTCCCACAATTGTTTCAGTGGCACTTTCTTCAAACTATGCTGTCTTAAAATGATGTATGGTTGACTTGTGGCTTGTGACTCACAGTTTGATTACCGAAGGATCTGATCTACACTTTACCGTCAATAAGAAAACATAGGAGAGATACTAATGAAGTCAAAGGTCAGAGGTAGACAGGTCCGCGGCTGGCCGTTATTGTTGAGGTACCAAACTAACAGATTCCTTGGGGAAAAAACTGCTATGACAGTCTAGGTAGTTGGAGGAAAGCGACTGCTAGTGACCTAAATAGATGAATGTGCTTAAGAATGCAGACAGATTCCGGACCGGGATTATTTTTATCACTACCTTAAACTAATGTGCTTTCCACATTCTAATGGTCTAATGCTTCTGTAATTTGAGGATGTTGTTCCTTCACCCTTTCTTACATACGAAGAACTATCATTCTTTCCTCGTATAGTTTATCACATCCAGGAAACTTGGGACTCGGATCCCAAGGTATTCCTTTTCTTGTTTGCTTCTGAAACAATTCCCAACACAGAAGACATGAGAAATTTATCAAAGTTATCCTGCATCGAATTCTGTCTTGGCGTTCTCTATACTCAAATCTCCATCTTTCTTGGAAGAAAACCTTCCCGCGAAGTAAATTTTGACCCAAAAAAATTTCTTTTAGGGAAATCAAAATTTCATTAAAAATCAAAAAATGCTGTAATCAAAAGAATATAGTGGGTTACATAGTTTGGGTATTACTGCAACTTGGGAGAAATCCTAATGGGCATTCCCTGAGAGGGAAAGGGTAGTGGATCAACAAGAATAGGCTCCTCAGGGTTCACTAAAGACCAATCGTATTGAGTTACAACAAGATGTATCAGTATTAAGATGTTCAGCTTGGCTAATTGATATCCAGCACATTGCCTTGGACCTCCACCAAATGGAAGATATGCATAAGGTTGAATTGGCTCCTCAAATCTACTTGGATTAAAACTCAAGGGATCTTCAAAATACTCTGATTCATAATGCGTTCCATAAGCAGTCCAAAGCACCTACACAGATCAAAAATCCGAATCGATCCCTAATAAGAATTTTAGTTTATTTTGGTTCAATATATCAAGGATATGATTCATATAGTCGATCCCATGTTCATAGGCGAGAAATTAAGGTTTACCTTCCATCCTTTTGGAATAATGTAGCCGTCGTATTCAATGTCTACAATTGCTTTCCTGAATGAGCCAAAGATAGGGGGAAACAGCCTCATGCTCTCTCTAGCAACTTGCCAAGTATAGTTCATCTTCTTTATGTCCTCCAATGCGAGAAATTCACCTGGTTTTTTGTTCTTCTGGATTTCCACATGTTCTGCTTAGACATGTAGGTTTTAATTAGCGTTAAAATAATGAAACATTAAACAAACTGCAACTTGGAACAAAGTTAATGTTAATTATATAGTGTAGATAATTAGATTAAGGCTGCATTACCTTGAAGGAGTCGAGAATAGCAGTCAGGATGATGAGCTAACATCCTAAAGGTCATGGCAATGGCAAAAGAAGTGGTATCATGTGCTGCAAAAACCAGCAGAACCACATTATCAACCACTTCTTTTTCGGTCATTTCGTCCCGAATCAGCGCCATTATCAATCGGAAAATCAACACTCCTCCTTCTCCTCCAACACTCTGCTGAGATTCAATTTCTTCTCTCTTTTGTCTAACTATAGTAAGCAACATTTTCTCAATCTCCTTTCTTGCTTTCTTAGCCCTCCAAAAAACTGACCCCGGAAAATTCAAAGGTAAAGAAAAAGCCCCTTCCAACACTCTTTCAAACACTCCCAACATGTTTGGTTTCACTTCAATTCCCATCATGCATTCCAACACAATGGTGAATGTCAGAACTCTGGTCTTTCGATAAAGACTAATAATGTCCTGCCCTTTCCAGTGAGCTTCAAAATGTGATTCCACAGTTTGGCAGATTTTAGGCACCATTGATTCAAGCCCGGAATTGCTGAGGCTGGTGGCAATGATCCCGCGAATGTGTCGATGCGCCTCGCCTTGTTTCTCCATGATTGAATCTGATCCCATGAGCTGAACTGATGAAGAAGGCCATGAACTGACCACAAGCTTGAACTCATTGGAGAGGAAGAATTTGTTGGCCTCAGCTCCACTCACAACCACTGTGGGTGACCCCATTAACTTGGTTTTGAAAGTCTTGCCATATTTTTGGATTCTTGGCTGAACAAATTGCTGATACATTTTGTTGTTCTTTTGGGCTTTGTAGAAATCTAAGGTTTCACCAATCCATGGAAATCCTAGCTCTCCAGGAGGCAGTTGTTTCTTGCTTCTGTGGCATAGTAACAGTTTCTTGTGTCTAGACAAGAAAAGGGCAAATGCTGTTAATGCAATTGCGAGGGATAGTAACAAAGGTTGAAGAGAATTCAGGTCAAAAGCCATTGACGCGAGGTTTTGAAAGCGGAAAATGTGATTAGAAAGAAGGAATGGGAGAAGGAGAGGGGATTGATTTTGTGAATGAAGTTTTTCAGTTGGTTTGGTTGGATTGGAGGAGAAGAGATACTGCGGAGATTTATAGTATCTGCCTCGCAGGCGGGAACGTGTCTCTTCCAATAAATTATTGTATCAAAGGAATTCAAGATTGACTTTTTTAAAATTTCAACTTTAATTCAAGTAGTATAAATTCTTTTTTTTTTTTTTTGCCCTTTTTTTTCATCTCATTAAATAATATAGTGTGTATTTGCCGCCTCATTGATTAGTCATTAAGTCAATGTGTAATGGCAATATTTCACAAATTGTTTGGTGCCAACTGCCAAATGAATCTTTGGACTCGCTTGCATCTTTGATAAGGTTTTGAATTGTAATAGGTTTATGGTTTACTTTGAGCAACATTTTTCAGTGTTGATTTTTGGTGTTCAAGACTTGGAAGTCTTTCTTGTTGTAGGCCTTTTTGTTTTATTTGTGCATGAGAAGGTGCGTAGAGAGTTGAATCATACCTTTTAATTTTAAACATGCGCATCTATTACCTTTTTTTATTTTTTATTTTTTTTGCAATAAAAACCCATCCCAAAAAAACTTCACTTTAATTAAACCGGATCTATACCTCGGACATACAATATTCTAACCACTGAACTGTTATTCAATTTTAACTATTACTTTGTTTTACGTTATTTTTTAACCGTAATCTCAATTTATTGTTCCTCTAAGCATAAACATACAATCCGCGTTACACCTATTAATCAACACATTAGTTATCACGTCTGTGTGTGTGAGTATTGACGGAAGTAACATCCGCCGCTTGTCACACGTGTAGTAAGTTGTAATGGAAAGGCCGCCACCCCAAACAACTGGTATGCACATTATTTTATAATTTACCAGTTTCAGTTGATTTTTTTTTTCTTCTACTACAAAATGATTTATTTTATAAACTTCAATCTCAAAAGAAGTACATTGACATATGCTTAAACACAATGAGAAAAAAAAAATTTTAATTTGAAAACACATTAATTAATATGCATGACAAAGTAATACTTACATTACAATAATTATTATTATTTCAGAACTCATTTTATTGAAATTATATTACTACATTTTAAGGCTGTATAAGTATCATTATTTGTTTACATTGACTAGTTGCGTATGGAGTTGACCTTATTTGAATCTCAATTGACTTTAGAGCCAAAGTAGTTAACAAACATTCTACTCGATGGGGTGTTGACATTTTCTACAATTAGAAAAGTTACACATAATCATTGACAAAATGAATATTAATTGATTTAATTTGTGTAGTTTATGCAGTAAACATTAATATATACTCCCCCGTTCCATAATTATTGTCCAGTTTTACTAAAATGAAAGATTTTATTTTTAGTCAAACTTAACTATATTTTACCTTAAACAACCGGATATACCCTTACATAAGTAATTGTTTAACCACTAAGATTTTATGGATAATGTTTTTTACTAAGGACAAATGTGTAACTTGATCCATAAAAAGTCGAATTAGACAATAATTTTGGGACAAAATTTTTTGGACAAAGTGGACAATAATTATGGGACGGAGGGAGTACTTTCTTTTTTATTTTCTTGAATTTAGATTCATTGTTTCTTTAATGACCAATATGCTTTCACTTCACCTTTATCGTTACACTTTGAAATTGCTATTATAGAAGTTAAGTTATATATGTTTATATAAATTTATTTACTGGAATGAAATTTAAGATGCATGCATTTTAATTAGAACGTAATAAAATGCAACAAATGAATTTTTTTTTGGTTCTACAAGAGGGATTATAATGGAAGGCGAATCACATTCTGACTTTTAAAGACTGCAAAAAAATCTAAAAGTCGGCTTCTTCAACCGACTGATCATATGCAGTGCATGTGCCTTGCAGCCCAAATTTTTTTGATGACACTAATTTCTTGAAAATCAATAATAAAAAATAAATTTTAAAAAAACAATAATAATAATAATATTTGGTTCATAGATTCAAGTTGACGGCCCTGACGACATGTTAGTCAAATAGTTTTAAAATCCTTCTCATCGCCGTAGTATCCCTGAAAATCTGCTTTGTCCATTAACTTAATTAGGGTTTATTACCTTTCCATCCAAAGTCAAATCATGAAATTAATAAAAAGAGAGCTCTTAGTCATACTCTAGGAATCTTCTTCGTGATTAATATGATTACTCAAAACAATCATGATGAATCCATGATGGAATGATGCAATATTACGTATTAGGAACACAGACAGCTTTGATCAGTATTGATTAACGCACACGATCTTTTGTTGCACTCATGCGTTACTTACAACATTTATAACACGTATATTTTAAAATAAAAAAAACGTCAAAAGGGTTCATCTACTACTTTGTTACGGTATTAGTTATTTTTCTTTCTTAAAATAAATTGGATAAACATCTAAAAAACAATACAACAGTGATATAGAAAAACCAATCTAATAGTGATGCATAGCTACGACACTTATTGATGCAACCAAGTTACAAATTTATTTTCCCTCTCAAATTCATATGCTTATCTCTATTAACATGTACAATATAAATTTGTAGTAGAATTAATGTTAACTACGTCATTTGAGAGTTTAAGTTGGTGCATGCAAAATGCATGATTTATGAGTGAACCACTAATTCTAAAAGATTAAAGTTAGGTCATTAATAACAATGAGACTAGTTCCTATGGGAATCTCAAAAGGAGGAAAGGTGAGCTTATAAATTTGAGATGGAAATGAAATATTCCATCTGTCGAAAAAAAAAATTAGATTGAAGAACTAGGAATTTCTAATTTCAGTCATCATCTATAGTACTTAATTAAAGTATCAAACAAAAAGGACATGTGTCAGCACTACAATGAAAATTTTCCCGCCAAAAGCCATTTTCAGTACAAAATCATTTTTGACAAGTGGCACTCTAACTAATCAGAAAAAAAGATGGAATAGATAAATACATAAATCCCTTAATTATAGCTACATAAAAATCTCTTAATTATAGGTATATACTAATCTTTTAAAATAATAATATTTAATTAATAAAATCAAATGTAAGGAAATCCCCTTAAATCAAGTGAAACATAATAATGTCTTCCCAATTCCTAATTTCAAAGAATCTCTTCCATTCCGCTCCTCTCTTACACCCGGGCCTTTAAATCAATTACTTAAAATCTGACATCAATTATCAATCCATCTCTTTCTACAACAGAGAAAAAATAAGTTGTCATGAAAGAAATTTGATTTTTTAAGGATGATTTTTTTTTATTCTTCTGTTGTAGATTTTGGTTTATGACTTATATAAACCGGGCATACGTTAACTGTTGTAAATTAAATGTTATAACTCTGGGCATAGATTTATGTATAATAACTCACTTTCTGTCCTTTCAATCGATTTTTTATTCTTCTATTTTTTTTTATTCTTTTAAGAATGATTCGTATTTTTTATTTAATCGATTTAAAAATACAGGCGGCACCCCGGACATTCACCCGGGACAAGCATCTAGTACCAATAAAGTACAATCCATTTTATAGTCTAAACTTCCAATGTACCCTTATTTAATAATTGAGTATAGTCTAAACTTCCAATGTATCCTTATTTAGCTAATGAGGGGTTGGTCTAATAGTAGGGATTCTAGCACTTATTTGTGGTGGCGTGGGTTCGAACCCCCACAACAGTGGTTTATCACTTGCCATGCTTTCCTGCAGGAGGCAACAACCTCCAAAGGAGGCCCTTTCGAGGGTGAACAAAATCTATTATAGCCAATTTTATTTGATTTACTATATGTGGAAAACCTTATTGCCATTATAGCCAAAGGAGGCCCTCGAAAACCTTCGGTTGAAGAAGCCCTTATCAATATATAAGGATGAGCATATAACTAGTATTTTATTTGATTTACTAATTAATTAAGTAAATAAAACCAAGAAGCCATTATAGCTAAAATTTATAAGATAAAAATAAAAAATCACAGCTTGTTACCTTATCAATATATAAGGATGAGCAACAATGCACCACCCCACAACAAAAAGGCAAAAACAAATAACAGGAAAAAAGTATGGAAATTGGTTTGATATGAGTTTTTCACGTGGGGAGACATATGGATCGGGACGGGGAGGTTGGGAAATAGTCCAGTTATTATTTATAGAGCAGCAAATAGAATCTCTTTTTTTTTTTTTTGAAAACCAAATAAAATCCCTTAAATAGGACGTTTTACCTTTTTTTAGAGGGGATAATTGATAACATTTTTAAGTATAATTGAATGCCGGATTCCATTAGATCGGATTTCGTACGATATACTCCCTCTGTCCCAAAATTATTGTCCAGTTTGATATTTCACTTTTAATACAATTTGAACTAAAAATGAAAATCCAAACTGGACAATAATTATGGGACGGAGGGAGTATATGAGTTCATATCCGTTTAACGGAATGAATTTTGGAATTCTTCAAATTAACATTATTTTTATCTCTTTAAAATAAATAGTTAGTGACGGGATATTTGAAAATATTTGCTGATTAATTGATGGAATATGATATGATTTATTACATTATTATGTTTCTTACCGGATCATATTCCACTTGCTTTTGGGGGATTTTTGAATTTAGTTTGTTCCATATTTTCAGAATGAATATGTAAGTATTTATTTTAGGGTAAGTTGTAACTTGCATTTATTTTCTTAATTTGATGGAAAATATTCAAATTATTATAATGACAATTAGTGCGGAATCCGATCTGTATGATTAGAGAGAATTTTTATTCATTTTGACCAACAAATTTTGAAATCGTTATCGAACATTAACTTAGAAAGTAAGTTGTAAATGACAAAAGATTATTTATGGTTTCACGTTTGATAAAGATTTTATGCACTAAGTGTACTTATATGGGTTATTATATATTAAAAGAAATATGGGTTATTATATGTGTTAATGAATTGGTAAAA